CGGGACCCCCCATCGCCTCCTGCCCGCGGGATTTCACCTCCCGGGAGCTGCGTTAACGTTAGAAGCTGCAGCTGCAGCGATGGGGGAGGCTTTGCCTCCTCCCCCCACACGTCCCATAGAGCAGCCTGCTCTGCCCGCACCGAAGGCGTTACGTGGCATTCGTTCAAACGTGCTCAGGGACGTGGTTTTGATCGACACAACCTCTCCAATATCTGACAAAATTGTGAAATCAGGGGACAACAACTTCCAACCACTGCCACTGTTTCAGCGGCTGAATTTGGATCCAGAGCAGGAGGGGAAAGCCTCCTTCCCTTTCTGTGCCAATCCATTAAAATCACGCACTCATTGAAACTCTCTGGGGAGAAACTACCACCAAACTATTAACACAATCTTCCTGAACTATTAATACGGTTTGTGGGAGCTTTTATCCACTGTGGGGTCTGATCATGCAAGTGCACAGGCATGAAGATGCTGGGTTTGTCCTCTGTTTAAATGACCCTTTGGTTTAAACAGTATTTTCTGTTATTGAAATCTTCCTGAATCTAAGGGGAATGATTTTCTTTCAAAGGGGGATTATATTTTTATTTGCAGTAAACTGGCAAGTGTGGTCAAGATTAAAGTGCCTTGGGATGACAAGATGAGTGTTTGCAAAGGGTAGAAGTTACGAAAGCATTTCAAAAATATTTGTGTCATAATATTCAGATGTCCTGTAATCCAGAAATATTCTGTAATTTGGTTTTCAAACTCAGGTCATTGGTCTATGAAGCTAATTTATGCAGTTTAAAAAAAAAAAATGGCCCTGAGCATCAAGTTGGATTTATTCCTAATTTTGGTATTTCAAGGGTGGTTTTGCTTTTCTGCCAGACTTTGGTGCGAGGAGATGCTGGAAGATCATCTTGATTTTTAGCTTTCAGGCAGTTCAGAACAACAAAACAGTGAAAGGTTTTTGATGCATACTCACGCTGAAAGAAATAGATGTGAAGGCAAGAACAGGCAGAAATAGTGAAAAATTGTCTCTCATTCAGCTCGTAGCTATCACTCCCGAGCAATTTAGCGGAACATTATGTACCGAAGGTTTTCAGTCCCAGACTCATTTCAGTTCAGAAATTTCCCTGAACAGGAGGTCTGAGTGGAGAAGGGAAACAATGATCTCTGAAACATTTTCCTCTGATTTGCAAGCTGGGAGACACCTCTCCAGTCTGAAATGAAGGATGTATTGAGGCTTGTGTGGATTTCGGGGTGTCTGTGGCTGCTCCACAGTGGCACTTGAGTGTTCGTTTCTCTCTCTGCTTGGAGGATGATGCAGAGGGGAATAGCTGGAAACAGCAAAGAAAAAATGGAAAGTTAAAAAAAGACAAATCAGGCAAAAGAAAAGCCCCATCTTTGGCACCAGTTTCATACAAGCAACAGAGAAAACTAAAACTCTGTCTTTGGACAATTTTGTCTCTCTAGGTTTACTTTCAATGGTTGGTAAAGGTGCCACTGCAGCATGGTTAGATAGATTCCTTGTTTGAGTTCACTCCGGGTCTCAATGAAGAAGACCTGGTGTGACTCTGGAGTGAGCTAGCTGCCCAGTAGCTGCAGTCTTTTCACTGTTTCTTCCCTTCTATTGCTAAGCAAGACATTAGCTAGATTAGCACTGGGTTGGATGTATTTATTCACACTGCAATTTCACCTCTGAGCAACATGCTAATATGTCCAACCTGGTTTTCAGATCAAATGACAGTAGTGCCCACAAATGATTAGACTAATTCCCGCATGTTGTATTTTATTTGTACCATTGGAGTAAAATGTAAATATATCCTCAGGATTGGGTATTTTCAACAAGGAATCAGGTTAAGAAAAGGCTCCATGATCCCAGGGTCCTTTTTACAGTAGGCTCCAAAAACACACCTCATTATAAAATACACCTTCCCAAGGAATCACGAGACATGAGAAATCAAAAGAGAATTCCTAAAAGCAAAAGCTCTCCAGCAGAAAATCAATTTCAGCTACTTTTACCTTGCCCCAGGGAAAGCAGCAGAGACACTAAGTGGGGTGTGGGAAAGGTCTCGTACATCTTCCTGGAATTGCGCGAGGCAGACCTCTAGATGGGAGCTTTTCTTTCCGAGACAGCTCTGCTCTAATTAGGGACTTCTGCAAAATTGGTACGTTGCAGTTCCAAATAGTGTCTCGATGAGTCCCATATCAAATTTCTTTAGTTTAAAAAAAAAAAAAATTATGTCTTTGTCCTTGTTCTAATTGACAGCCTTACAAATGCAGGTGGACTGAGGGGTGAAGGTCAAATTGAGCTTATTGTGCTTAATAAGGTAAGGGAAAAAAAACAGCAGAAAAAAAACAGCAGAAAGTTCTACAGGAAAAAATGTTCTTTGATTGTTGTTTTGTTCCTGGCCATCATATTGCCTTTTCAAGGGTCTTTGTGCATTTTCAGATTACCTTCAGCATGAAAAGAAACAAATTGCCTTTAAATAAAACTGTTACATGAGGGGCTTTCCTGTAACGCTTCATCTACTGATGTACCAGACAGAATCCAGTTCATGGACTCAACGATCTGTGTTGAGTGGAGACAAAATTAATTTTCTATATAGGAAAGTGCATCCTTCTCCTTAGTCAACCTTTTTCGGGGCAGTCTACCAGTTTAAACCTCTGGCTCTTTCCTGTAATTCTCAGCATTCAGATCTTTCCGGGTAACGTGGTATCATTAAATCAGGGCAACACATTCTGAAAAGACAAGTTCCCTCTTGGAAAGATTGTGACTAATATCATCTGTGCATTGTAGGGAGAAGGCAGAATAATTTTTATTTTCCGGGTCAGTATAAATCTCTGTATCTTAAAGTTATCCCCCTTCCTCCCGTCTCACATTTCTCTACTGTGTATCCTCTGCACTGACCTATGCTGCTGCAGTCCAACCTGGGACGGCTGTGGCAGCTCAGCCCCAAAGAGCAGAGGAGTCCAGAACGTCTTCCTTAGAGATACAGCTTGTGAGATGGCAGCTGCCTTGACAAATATAGAATTTTTTAAAAAAGAAAGGCAAATATGGAACATTCCAATATTTCTTAATATTATTTTCTTTAGACTATTCTGTGAAAAGTTTCAGATCTTCAAATTTCCACTCCCATGTGGGAGGAAAGGAACTGAACATGTGAATTTTGCATGAGACGGGCATTTTTGGCTCTGCTCTGCTCTAAAACCCAATTTTAGGTAGGGTAGGAAAATCACTTTGGGCTTCATTTCACACTTCTGTTGACCAATGTTTTTTCCAGGTGGGCTCAGATTCTCTGCAGCTGTTTCTCAGCACAGCCCCATTGAAGTCACTGCAACCTGCAGTAGTTTGTACCAGTCAGAGCTGTGTCACTATAATGAATATTTCAGCAGCAATAGAAACACAGTTGTCTGTATAGTGAATGAACACCTCGACAGAGCACATGCTGTCCTTAAAAAGCTCAGCTCACAGTTTTCTGGGATTTAAAATGGGATCAGCTCTTGTGTTACACTGCTTGGCTTCCTGCGTGCCGGCCTGACTGGCCACTAGTCTTGCACAGAGCATCCTGTATCTAGATTTGTTGTGATTTCAGGAAAATTCATGTGTCCCAGGTGTAAGTAACTTACACTACTGTACAGCAAAAGAAAAAAAGTGTCACTTGATGCTCGTGGCCACTCCAAAACATTACTCAAGTATGGTTTCAGATGGCTGCCAGGGCAATCCATGACCAGTGCTAAAGGTGCCCTGCCAGTCTGCCCTGGGGGGCAGGAGGGGTGGGTGGGGTGCTGACATAGTGCAAAATCTGGGAAACAATTAGACTTGGAAGCAGCACAGAAGCTGTACCAGGCAGGTGTATAAGGGGATTTTCCACATCACCTCACAAATCCACCCCATACCCTCATCAGTGGTGCTCGATCTCTGATGCCCTGCAGGAAGGTGAGAGAAAGCCCCAGGACACACCGTGCTCATTGCGGGGGCAACGAACCTGCCTGAGCCCGGAAGCCAAAGCCCTGAAGGAAGAGACCTGATTATGCTCTGTCTTTGTATGCTAAGTTGTAGGGGTTAGGAGCACATGCAGGGTGAGGACGGAATTTCCCTTCACAGGGGAGACACAGGCACCTCTCCTCTCACTGGGAGCATCTTTGCACACAGGACCAGCAGTTATCCCACTATTTGTGCAACGCGAATAAATCCTGGGCTCTTCCCTGACTGATTGACATTTGTCAGATGAGGGTGTAGGTACAAAATACCCACCACAATATGCAATAACCTTTAAAAGACATGCCAGCAACCTCCTCTTTTATGGAGCGTGCCACACTGGCTGAGCGGAGTAGGATGCTGCTGCAAACACCTCGCTGGCGGGATGCTACCTGCATGCTAATGCCGAGGGCGTTTGTGCACAGCCTGGCTGCCAGCGCTCGGCTCCGGCAGTTTCCATGGTGCCGTCATGGTGCGCTCTCCCTACATCTTCACTTATCAGCATTTCCCACCCATCCTCCTCCCCGTAATACGCTGCTCGCTCACCCCAAAAGGTCAGCCATTGTGATGATGATTGTAGCAGGGGGGAGGCAGGGAGGCCAAAGGGTGAAGAGGTGAGCTGTGTGCAGCCATGTGCGTGGGAACCGCGGGCTTGCCTTACGCTGCACAATGAGAAATTAGAAAGCTTCCCCTCGAGGGAGCGGTGCTCATCAGCCCCCTCTCACTTCCCATCCCAGCCAAGTCAGATGCCCTTATGGAGTTAAAAAATGCTGAGGCAAAGCGGCTGGAGAGTCTACTTTAAATCATCAGCAATTGATGCGTTAGTGCATGGAAGGGGCTGTGTCTGCTAACAGAAGAAATTGCTGTAAACCTTTCCAGGCATCTTTCTTTTTCCATCTCCCTCCCGCCCCCTCCCAGCAAGCCCGGTGCTCATTTGCAGGTGGAAGGAGGCAGATTTCTTCCTCTGACTTCCACCCTGCTGGCTGCCGGACCAAAGCACTGCATCTGCTAACTGCCTTCCTTTTCTTTCTTTCTCTAGGACAGCTTTCCTGCCCGTTTTGGAGGAGTTCACTTTGTCAACCAGCCCTGGTATATCCATGCCCTGTACACACTAATCAAACCGTTCCTCAAAGACAAGACGAGGTAAAGGGTAATTGGAAAGAG